CTATACCTAAGCCCGCAGTTACAAATCACCCGTCCAGTCCTACAACCACAACAGCCGAAGATCCTGTACCACCCTTTTCCCCCCCACCACTACAATCCCTACCCGAAGATACTTCGGCCTCCGCAGTTTCTCCTTCTGCCCCTCTTCAACCTCAACCCTATTACACTCGATACAATCGAAAAGTTATCTTCCCCTCCCGGCTGGCCGACTATGTACATTCAGTTCGTCGAGCGTTTTCTATCCCCTTTTAGGTTCCTACAAACGCTCTAGAGGGGGAGTATTGTGGGACTCTTCATCAACGTTCAAATAGAAATCCTGCTATAGAACTTTACTCACAAATATTTAGCTATTAATATTCATGCGAATCATGCTAGACTTATCTGATAACTAATCGCTTTGCCAAAAATACACATTTTGCTATCCTTATCTGGTGAATAAACGTTTCTGTGATACGTCTCTTTCTGGAGACTCAGTAATTAGGAGAATCTGCCCAAAAAGGTTCCTGAGACTTAGGTCAGGCTTTACTAGCGTAGCAATCCGCTACAAGATAATTAAGGAAACGGGAATTTCGAAGAAATGGAAAATAACAAATTCTTGATTACAGAACTTTAGCTAGGAAATTCTGACTTGATCAGCTTGTGATCACTTGCTGAAATCATATTCCGATAGAGTGAAACTATCTTGGATTCGATTAAAAACATTGTCCTAATTTCATGACACTAGAATTACGCAAACAATGCTTCGAAGCAGTGAACGCGTGAACATGCAACGGTCAAATGCATTGCAATTTTCCCTTTCCTAAAGCATATTCGCTTAAATTTTTATTTAACACTTAGATTTTACTCGTCTTTACTTTTCAGAAATGGAAGCAGAATAGCTAGACACCGAAACCAGTTGCACAACTAGCCGCCTTCTCTAAAGATCAGATCCTTCAGGATCATTTCTGTCATACCTTATAATGCAATAACATCTAATTACATACTCACTGCTCTTCAGAACTTAAACTATGCATCGAATCAGTACTGAATAAACTTAACTTAGGCTTTAAATTATAAATTGAAATGAGTTTATAACCATTTACAAATTGCTTGCTAATATCATTATTGCTTATTTTGTGCACATGGTTCATTACATTTCGACTGATTCTTTCAGAGACAATAAAGGTGAAAAAACCGAATGTAGGCCCTATTTAAGACATCTTTTAGACAAGAAAAAGAATGATGAGTAGGCTGTTTCTGACCGTAATACAGAATATATAAAGGGGAGAGATAAAGGGGGAGAGAGGGGAGAGTGTGCTCATGCCTTATTTAAATCTACAAATTCACTCGGTCAGTGGTGTGGTGGTGGTGGTGGTAATACTGTTATTTTTTGTTCTTTTATTATCATTAGCGTAAAGGAAAAGAGATGTAAAGTTGTAGTAGTAGTAGTAGTAGTAGTAGTAGTAGGAGTAAAAGAACTTCATACTGAGAATGGTGAGGAGGAGGAGGAGGAGGAGGAGGGTTGCGAGGGGTGTGGGGTGGCATAAACATAGTGGAGCCGTTTATATCAACAAGCGAAATCCCAACGATGGCGCAGATTTAATTGTTCAAATGAGAGGAGTGAAAGCGGGGGAGGGAAGGGGGGGGGGATATTACGTGCAGAGTTGAGGGAGGGGGGGGGGGGGGGGGGGGGGGGGGGGGNGGGGAGGAGGAGGAGGAGGGCAAGGTTCAGCAAATGAATGACAAGTAGGCAGAAGCTCTTCACTTATTCAGTAGAAGCGAATTGATTTGTGCAGTTACTATGGCTGCTCCGTAATTAGCATCAAATTCAGAGAATATGTGCGCCATATACTCACCGCTTAACTTCTTGATAATAAGGCCGAAAAGTCTGAAACGAAATAGCACATTTTTAGCGAATTCATTTGCTATGCCAATAATACAATTCAAAGAGAGCTAAAAACTTACTTTGGTTTGTCAATTCCCAAAGCGGAGTGATTTGGATGTAGGAAACTAAGTGAGTACAATTAAAATACGATTAATTACTTTACTTGGAGAATTGAGTATAATATGAGATGATCAGAGGTAGTACTTACGCTTTATCGCGGTGGTCGATGCCAGCGTAGATGAAGCTATTAGCAGAGAAGTGGCGTTGGAAGAAGAGCTTTCGAGAGAGATCGGTTAGCAAGATGCCCTCGTTATGGGCTGCTTGCAGTTGGCATTCAGCATACTGAATGGGACTTTCCGCACCAAGCTGATCACAGGTTGCAGCCTGTAGAATTGGACCGGGAATTAGGGTGTCCACTGCTGCCATTAGATTCGCCTGTTCCGGCTGATTACTATCCACTTCCACGGCTCCCAAATAGAGACAGCGGCATGCTAAAAAAGCAAAATAGAAATGAATGTCAGTAAGTATGAAAAACATCTTGTATCACGAGTACTTGAATACGTTTTCTCTGGGCAGCTCAACACAGTACTCAATTTTAAATCTGTCATTGAAACACATATAAGTATTAGCTAAAATATATTACGAAGCCCACAACCTTTTAGTTTGGGATTGATTCTGACAACCCGTCCTTCAGCTTTTCAAATGTGAGCTTCTATCAGAAGATGTGTGGGACACGTTATCACTGTGTGCGTCATTGGGAGGTGCGGCCGTACAACTCTGTGTGCAGCGACCGTACAACTCTGTGTGCAGCGACCGTACAAACAGTGACCAACCATCCTGATCATGAGTAGCTCCCTGCGTGTACGCTGGATCCGCAATATACGTCCTGAATAAACGTGCTCCGTTGTTGGAGAATCTGTCACAGAGATTTCTGAGTCAGTCAGGCTTTAATGAAGTAGCAATCCGCTACACCATTATCCCGGTAAGCTAAAACTCTTATTTGAATATGGTTCGAAACCGTCACACAAATGCGAACTTTCCAAGTGAATATATATTTGTAATATTATAGCCCGACATAATTCATGCCGCATAATTTTTGAACTGCTTTCAACACGATCGCTTTCCACACTTCAAAAGCCTTATACACGAAAGAAGTTATCAAATTTGCATTTCAGTCAGGCATTTAGATCTTTGAATGCTTATAGTGGTTTAATTAGGCTTATGTAAAGGAGAATAAGATGATATCAATTTCGAATTTGGGATGAATAATAAAGGAAAAGTAAAAACTCAACTCTACTATGCTCTGAGAGTCGTAAACAGTATCAGCGGTTGGGAGGTGATTTAGAAAAGTCAGTTGGAGTCTGTTATGAAAGCTCATACCACTTACTGATTACGTCGGAACCTGGCTCAATTTGGATTGAAAATGTGACATAACCATTCACTAATTAGTCTAATTGGATGTAACCAAGCAACTGTGATTTTAGGCTTATGCGGCATTAGTCAAGAGTACATTCATTATTGTCCGTGGTCAGGACAATGAATTGTTTATTATCTACCTGATTTTTGATGAAAGGAACAAATAACAAGAACAAACCGCTTACATATATTAGGCGGAGGACTGATTAGCTCACTGTGGAACATCCCCGCTGTTGGAGAGAGCGGAGAAGTGATGCTTCTTGAGGGATTGGGGGTATCCAGTGACTCCCCTCTTGTCGCCGGCATCGCGGACACAGCAACAGTAGAAATATTTCCATTGAAACTTGTGGGTGTTTGATTCAAGCTACGAATTCCATTATTCTGCACCAGAGTGATTGAATCGGAATCACCGTTGGTATTGCCATTGCCATTTCGAAGAGATGAGTTGCTCGCTGTGTTAGTGACAACAGCACTGGTCTGGATCGACGGTATAGGCGGGAGGACTAGACAACATGGCAACGCGACAGGGTACTGAGTGTGATACTGAATTAGGGCCAAAAGATTGGGGAACACCTGCTCAGCACTGAAACCCTTGATTCGAACCCCTCGAGTGGGTGTTGTTACAGTTTCAATGAGATAATGCCGAACCAGATCATTGCTGATATCGTCTACATGCGGAAAGAGAGCCGTGAATTCTAATAGGTTAGCATTTCAAATTCCGGGAGTTAATATAAACACTTATGGCTGAGTAATATCTCATGCAATGAACAACAAAATGTTAGCATGCTTATGTCAGTTGAAACATTGGTTATAAGTACGTATAAAAGCCTTCCTGTTTTGGAGGTAAGTTAGACTATGAGTGTTAATTGAATGCTCTTAGATAAGGCACTAACCATCATTATTTTTGAAATTACGTTGGCCTGTAGAGTTTTCTATTCAATGGATGCAATTTCAAAAGATTAGATACATTTAAACACGTGTTTTATTGTAAGAGATGACATATGACCCCTGTGTATACAACTTGTGTTATAAGGGGCTGTTTTTGGCGATTTCGAAGGTAAATGAACAATTTGATTGTCTTTTTTTGGGAAAGCAAAATGCTCATTAATGGTTAAATTTTTATCCTTAAGATAAATAAGAATATACTTGATTAGTAATTATTAATATTGAAAAATACACCCATTTTACAGTAATGTAATGTAGCATGATTAATTTCAAACAATTTATTCAATAGCGCAGACAAATACAAACAACATTGAATAGAGCAATCTGGCTACAACACATGTGTACGAGGAGCGGTTTCCAAGTATCTTTTTTCTACAAATGCTAAATAGGTTCACATGTCGCAATCCCACACCAATTAATAAATGATTATGTCATTCCCAAATGACTGATTGAGGCAGAAAAAGAAACATACGTGGACGTTTTAAGTGCCTGGAGGGGTGTTGGACTAAGCCACGATGTACAAGCATCGCCTTTGTTGACGAGGCTATTGATCGACTCCTCGGATCATCACCTTCACAGGAATCATCCATTATACCAAATATAAAAGTGAGTAATTTCTTCGTTTCTCCTTTTAGAATTGTCCCTTCTAATAATCGTGTTAGCTAAAATAACTAAGGAACTGTGCTTGGCTTGCTCCAAAGTTCCCATAATGCTCAAGAAGAAGTGAATGCACTTTTGACAGAAGGTCATAGGGCTTCAGTGAAGGCATAAATTAATTTATATTCTCAGTACCATTCATTAAATCCTTTCCCTGAGATGCCTAATTAATGGAGATAGGCGGATAAGTTGGCAACTGACGTGCTAGACGTGGACGTGGTTGGTCCATATTTTCTGTTTACTTTTAATCCAACCCACCAATTCTGCTCTGAATAAAGTAGACGGTAGTGACATTTCTTACTACCACTTTCATTAAGTTTCTGAATCGAATTATCTTCTGTTATAAAAATTCGTAAAGCGGAAGTGCACTAACTTCTATCTACTTTCATTAGGGAGATTTGAAAAGGTTTAATTGCGTTACGATACCGTCAGATCGTCGTTTACTGCTACGCACAATCATATGGTGTATTGTTTGCATTCACTTCTAAACCGTAGAAACAATGCCTAGCCCATTAAGAAAAAAAAGAAGGAGAAGGAGAAGGAGAAGGAGGAGGAGGAGAAGAGAAGTGATAAGTAACTCTTCCACTGAGCACAAGGCCGTGTCATTCCCTGCTAACGGCAAAAAATAGGAAGCAGCGAGGGAGTTAAGATCAAGCGCCGATGAGCTGTAAAAGCTGGCATTGACACAAAGTAATTAGTAAAGAGAAGAGGAGGAGACGATTTGGAGAATACTGTGAGAGTAAGCTGATGAATTTGGTGAGGAGGAAGTAAATTTGCGGGTCAAATAGCGCATCAACACAAAATGTAAAACACATACACAAGAAGGCATATCTTACTGAGGATGTTTTTCATGAATTTTGCGAAACCTGAGAGGGGAGGTGACAAATATTTCGTAGTAAATTGGAGGAGGGAGGAGGTGGAGGAGGAGGAGGAGGAAAAGAGAGATAAGTAAGCATCGATGAGTACATTTTCAAAAGCAATACTAAGCTAAAGCATTTCTCTATCATACCTAACACAATATAGAAGCTATGGATATCCGTTAACATGCATATATTTATAGCACTAAAAATACTATCAAATGTTATTCTAAAGTAATTCAAACTATTGCAATTATTACTACCACGTTGAATAAGCAGTATAATCTACCTGATTTCTGTCCGGGTTTGTTAGGTGGTTTGCTACTCTTGACAGCCAATCCATAAGCGTCCTTGAAGGTTGTGCTATCACGAACAAGGAAACTGCCAGTGGGTTGGTTTTTGAGAATTGATATGGCTACAAAAGTACAAAGTAATTAAAAGTCATTGAAGATGCCGCAAGCTTCGCAATTCTCACAAAATGCGATGTCAGATTTACGCATTAGTGACCTTTTAATAAAAGTGCTTTTAAAAGACTTATTTTTCCCAGCTAGGTTTGTGAGTGTTAAATCTATTTAAATTCACGGAAAGATTCACACATCACTTTAGGTTCACAATATGTCAACATTCAGTCAAAGGTTTACATTATTACAGTCACGTTGCTTTAAAAAAGGCTAATATTACCTTCTCAATTACTGAGTTTGGATTAGTCATTAATTAATTCAATCAACAGAACTTTTGGCACACAAGATTTGCAATATCATTGCTTTTAATTATAGTCTTCCTTACAATTAAACCATAGGCAGACTCTCAACCACTTTAAAAAGAGTTAATTATTAACCACTTCAGGAATAGGGAATAGAAAGCCAATACCATGAGTGCCAAATGTAAACCTCTTCTACACCACTAAAAGGATAGGCATTGCTCAAAACACTTGTATCGACTAATTAAGAGTTCAATCAATTGGTAGAAGAATTGTGCATTCGTTTTGTAAATTACAGTCAAGTCAATTAGACCCACCTTCTTGTCGTGATATCTTGAGACGATACCAGACTGGTGAAGTGGCCTCCACGAGGGAAAGATCCACTAATTGGCCATTCACAGGTACTGGGGCAGCAATATTCACAGAGGTGCTATTCGTGATGCTTTGATCATGACTATTGTTCCACTCCATTTTTTGCTTTGTGTGTTGGTTCTTTTGAATTTGTTGTTGGTGCTGTATCTGTTGGGGTTTCAACTGTTGTGACGTGCTCTGGAGGAGTGCAGGCTGTGTTTGCTGCTGCTGCTGCTGGTGCTGCTGCATCGTGGAAGAGTATTTACTAGTACTAGAATTCAACTGAAATTGTTGCTGTTGCTGATGATGCTGTTTTTGCTGTTGTGTAGCAAAGCTACTTGGCTTATTAGGCGAAATCTCAATTGGTCGGAAACTACCGGCATCGCTCACAGTTCCAGTTGACTGACGTCGAAGTGAAGAGAGGAAGGAGTCTATAAGTAAATGACAAATAGTGCAAATCAACCTGAAGGCGGTTTTAATGTAATTCTATTAAAATGAACGGGGTGTGCGATAGACTTACCTCCACGTGGTGCACCATGGGCAACGTATACTCATATGGCAAAAAAAGTCTATTAACTGGCAGTTGACTTCTGACTTCAAGCTACCACAACCCCCCTTGTTGTCATATTCGACCCCTTTCACTGTACTCACCTTACCTTTTTCTCTACCTTTGTGTCTGTCTGCCTCTTTTACATCTGTGAATCGCTCTTCTCTTCCCCACCCCTCGACTTTCTGCTACTTTGATGAACCTTCCCTCTATGAAGCCCGAAGTCAGCTAAAGGGCTAATGATAAGTGTCATAAAGCCCGCC